CACACCCACCGCTGCCTGGCCACACCCACCGCTGCCTGGCCACACCCACCGCTGCCTGGCCACACCCACTGCACTAGGAAAATGCCTGGTAGGACCCACCCATGAGATGACCACTGAACATTTTCAGCCACAGCTGTCACCCTGAGGTGACGCCCACCCACCCTGCCAGCATGCAGCCTGCAGCTCCTCACTGATAAGGGAGCACCACTCCTCACCCAGGTGCCTGGTAGCCCCAAAGTCACCTGGCTGGACACAGGTCAGTGAACGCTTTTGGCTGTTCACCAGGGAGTCTTTCGCACAATGGTAAAAGTATGTTAATTTAAAACAATTCAGTGTTCTCAAACTCTGCACTAGAAGGTAGGCAGTTGGGGAATGTCTCAAATTATTTTCCAAAAAAACAGTTCATTAATTTTAGCCTGTTATTTCTCATAATAACTGCAAGTACCATCAAAAACTCAAAACATAACTTCACTAAGAAAATATCCCTGTAATCCTGGGGGTGACTACAGTATTAGCCTCATCAGTTCATTTCCACAAACCAAGCTGAGTTTAAAATACCACATATGTGAAAGAGTTAGGATGGAAAAGGTTTGGGTACATTTTAAAAAGAGTTAGGATGGAAAAGGTTGCTTGGGTGCATTTTAAAAACCTGTGAAAGAGCTGGAAATTTTTATATACCGTGAGGGTGGGTGCAGTATCAAACAGTATTATTGGTTTAGGGCCACGATAATCTTTCTGATATTGTAAATTTAATGGATGTCAAAGTATCAAAACTATTACAATCAAACATAATTAAAGGCATGCTCCTTTCTTATATTAATTAACAAAAGGGAAAAAGTAGAAATACTGGCTAAAAAAGTATAATTTCAAGGTTTGAATTAGAATTGTAGAAGCCATATAAACTGTTTTCTTCATAATCATACATAAAATTTGACAACAATGTGAATTGAGGAAATAAATTGTTTCTCAGTTTAAGAACTTTACAGTTAAAACGTAGAAGAAAGGCCACGTGACCAGTATTGAATTAGCACAAATCTGTAGCTAGTTAATTAAAGCTAGTTAATTAAAAAAAACCCTTTTTTTTTTTTTTTGGCCAGGGCTGGGTTTGAACCTGTCACCTCCAGCATATGGGGCTGGCGCCCTACCCTTTTGAGCCACAGGCACCTCCCTAAAAAAAACTTTTTTAAACTTTTAAGCATCATCAACTCTCAAGGCTTTCGTCTCTTACGCATTTCATAGTTCACTTTTCTGCTAGCTGCTAGGTATGTTTTACTTTGTTGGCTTTTGAAGTTCTAAATTTAGGTTTAAACCTAAGTAATGAAAGGAGTGTGCTAACAGATTTGAAACAATTATTTAGCATTTGCCAACTTTCCTCTTTCAACAAAATGTATATGTTACCGGCTTTGGGGAAAAATAGTTTCCAAAATCATCCATCCCGCCCCATGGGTTGACATTTCCAAGTAGAAATAATTTTATTAAATCTGGCAAGTGTTTCCAGCTTGATAACTTGGAAACCATGCTGACTTAGCTTTACCCCGTGATATAATAAAATCAACTTGGTTGATACTGTCCACATAGGAATCAGAGTATGAGTCACAAATCAGATAAGTTTGGGTTCTCTATTCATGTGTTATCTTAAGTATCCATGAGCCAACTACCACGCCCTGGACCTGTGAGCTCAGAAAAGTGACGGGTCCCTGGTCCTCATTTCCTCATTACTGACTGAGCTAACAGGGCAGAACAAATGTGCAAGGCCAGTGACCTAGGACAGACGGGAAGCATGTGTACCCCATGACCACAAAAGGAGAATCTCATAATCATCCCAAGTAAGTCACATCTTCCAGTTGATCTGAGAGCTGTCCTGTGTGGATATTCAATATTCACTGTTTTCCCTTTTGATAAGAATTTAAAAAAATGATCTCTGGGATTATTCTGAGGACTATGGAAATAAATGTGTTCACCTTTGCACTTGTGGCTTCTGAACTGGTGTGTAAACTTGAAATACTATAAGTAACATTAGGACTATTACAGTTTATAATACACAGAAAGAATTAAGCACAACTGTGTATAGTTGGCCTGCAATACATAGTCAAAAAGGGGTAAGCAATTTCTGTCACTTTTCTTTTCCTACTGCTACAAGTTTGCTGTTCAACATTTAAAAGTTCTTCTGACAAAAACTTTCAAAGATCCCAAACCAGAAAGTAAATCTGCCTTTTCCTACAGTATCACTGGCCACCAGATTCCAACCTGCTACTACTGGGGTCTGCATCTAGGCAATTGTATCCTCTCAAAATTCATTATATTAGTTTTTGTACTTAATGAAGTTCTTTTTTTTTTTTTTTTTTGCAATTTTTGGCTGGGGCTGGGTTTGAACCTGCCACCTCCTGCATATGGGGCTGGCGCCCTACCCTTTTGAGCCACAGACACCACCCACGAAGTTCATCTTTTAATAACACAGATTTAACACAACAATCTTACAGACGAGCTCTATTCAACTCTTTATCGTATTTAGCAAAGACAAATGTTGATGGTCTCTATCAACTTTCCTGCATAATTCACTTGGATTAGACTGAAAAAATATTGATGGCGTGAGTATAAATGGGAAAACATATGGTATGTATAAATGAAGTCTCTATCCACATCTTTAATCAGACCTTAATCAGAATTTACTGGTTGAATGAAAAATGGAGTAAAATGTGTGCCAGTCAGAGAAAATGATGTGTGAATATTAAAACTCTAGACATAAAGAAAATGTGTAAATTGGTTCTTCAGTGGTTGGTAGGAAATTCTGTAGATAGAGATTAGCTGTGTGTCAGGAAAGCAATGCCCAACAATTAATCATGTAAAATTGCTTGTGATATTATGAGTTAATTACTCAGACACTTGTTAAAAGGAGTGTGAAAATATTAGGAAAGAAATTATTCAAATCAGTTTAGTGCCCATAAATTTCATGTCAACTAAGGACACTTGTGACAACAGAAATATATATGCTCAATGTTTTTTTTCTTTGTCTACACAAATATTTCCAGGCAATAAAGCCAAATCATTGATTATAAAATTAATGTAACTATAATTTCCCCGATAAAACCATGCATATGAATAATTCCACAAATCATCTAAATGTTAATCTTTTGCCAGGTCATTGACTCCAATTTAAAATTTGGGGGGAAAAAATGCTATGTTCATTCATTTTTGCTCAATTTTTTGCCCTTGCTGTCCCAAAAACTGAAAAAGAAATCATCTTCAAAGATTACGCATTTTGTTAGAGTAGTTAGTATCTAAATGATGTCATTATACATCCAACTTAGGGTAGATAAAGCAAAAAGGTAAAGAAAAATAGCTTAATGCAGTTATTTATCATATTGTATATATTAAATATGCAAAAATCAATTAATTTTCATCAGTCTCTTCTATACTTCCCAAGAGCTAAAAACTAAATGTGATTTTAGTGCCTTGGCTAGATAATACTGTAAGCTCTGTTAAGAAAAAGCAAATAAGTGTGGTGCCTGTGGTTCAAGGAGTAGGGTGCCGGCCCTATATACTGGGGGTGGCGGGTTCAAGCCCAGCCCCAGCCAAAATTGCAAAAAAAGAAAGAAAGAAAAAGCAAATAAAACGTATTATTTTATCTATTTGTGGAAAGTGGCTAAAAATAAAAATGAAATGTTAAAAATAGTCAGTGACATTTCTTAAACAATTGCTTAAAAAGAAACTATTGTCTTTAAGGTTAGTATAAAATGCAAGATGCTGTCCACCTGAAATAGTTGTGCAGCAAACATGGGATGATGAAGAGGAAGACCTCTAATTCAGAAAGTGACTTACAATGTTTAAAATCATATAACTATGAGGCCTTGGCTATGGAGAGAACACTGCATTTGGCATTTGGTTCAATTCAATAGAATTGTACCATGTGACAATTTGACAGCTTTACAAAGAGCCGGGCCACAGTTGGCTTCTGTTCCTACTGTCAGCCAACAAACAGGAAAGCAGCCAGAAAGCTGCCTCGCATACAGTCAGGGACGCAGCCTCACGTGCAGTCAGGAAGGCAAGCTTGGATACAATTAGAAGGGTAACCTGGCACACAATCTCTTGAAATGAGTGCTGCATCGGACCCTCCACCCCCACCACCATCATCATCACTGCAGTAGTGGCAGTTAACCTCCAGTAGACGCTAATGTCTTCCAAGTCTGTCCCTCTATACCACATGCTATATTTCTTCCTCTTACTTAAACTTCTTTCCTATCTCCACAACCATCATTATTTCCATGCCACAAATGGGGAACCGAAGCTCAGGGGAGCATAAAGCACCCACACATCATGAAGCAAGAAAAGCAGAATCTGGACACCACTACCAACAATGTTGGTCAAATCCACCACTCCCACCCCACTTACTCCCCCCACCCCCCACCTCACACCTCACACCTTGAAAAGCTTTCATCACATACTCTACATTCCAGCTTCCTCCCCATAGTTGTCAGGGACAAAAGGCCTGGCACCTTCAGGGACTCCTCTCTTTCTGCTATTCCTTGTCTCTGGCCCATCCTCAGACTCTGTTAGCTCCACCTTCTGAACATAAGCAGACCACTTCATCAGACCACCTCCACCTCAACTACTGGGACTTCTTTTTTCTTTTTTTTTTTTGCAGTTTTTGGCCAGGGCTGGGTTTGAACCCGCCACCTCCAGCATATGGGGCTGGTGCCCTACTCCTTTGAGCCACAGACACCACCCCGGACTTCTTATAATAAAAATTGAGTCCGTCTTTTAAATGGGACCTCATTTAACAAGCAGCAAATTACTTCAGGCAAGCATTCTACTCTGAGGGAAAACAGTAAGAGGAAAATGTTTGAGAAACCCTGATAGCATTAATAGGGCTTTCAATCACATGTCCAGAGCTACTCAGAGAACAGCTGTGGCATAAGGTGGGAGGGTGGTGACAGTGTGGATCTTTAAAAGCTTCTAGTCTTGTCTCTACGCAGAATAATTTTGTTTCTGTCTGGCAAACCAATAGTGAAAGAAGTGGGTAGTTGGCTTTTAAGAAACCTCAAGAATTTTTTTTTCTTTTTGTCATACACACACAGGCCTGAAGTTCACTGATGTCCCCACGTTGCAGAAGAATAAGAACGCCCTTCATAACAGTGACCCCACTTAGCACAGCCACATGGAAGTCACTGACATCCTTACCTCACAGAAGCTCTGACACTGGTGTTTCCTCAGGTCCCCCGAGTCCTTGCATGGCTCCAAGCACTGGCAGAGAGGGACAATACAGGTAAGTAAGA